CATAGTAAGAAACTGTAAATTATAGTGTCCGTCCAAAAATTATTTTTTTACAGATAGTGAAAACTACCCTTGGATGATGGGTTAGTAGACTAAAAGCTTTAGGAATCCAAAGTACAACATATAATAAGTACCCTGTATCAAGATTGATGCAAAACAAGTGAAATTTGACCTTTTTAGAGAGATTTAGCCAAAAACTGGGCCATCTGGGGTCATTTGGGTGGATTTGACCTATCTCTGGCCCCCCTTGCTCGATCTGGTTGGTTGACATACCCTTTGTGACCGTTAGAGCCAATAGAATCGAAGGAGGAGACTCACATAGACACACATTGTAAAGAAAAAATGTTGCCGCCTTCGCGTGTGGAAAGCGAAACTAAACTGGAGGAATGTCTCCTTCTGGAGTTTGGAAACTAAACGCAGTTTGTATTGCTTATGGATTATCAGAAATAATTTCAAAGAAGGCACAGACACATAGGATGAACCTATGGATTAACTGCAGCATCGTTTTTTTATCGTTTTAATGCCATTGAAGACCACTTTTGACCAAGGTAAGCCATATTTACATGTTTAGCTTCTTGGCTCCACATGTGATGATGTACGCTTTCGTTGATAGCGTCGCGAATGTTTATCACTGAGTGTTGAGGTGGGCACCATTAGATTCAGTGTCTCCAGGACACCAAAAAATAGTGTTTGGTTGTGCATCTAGGATAAGTAATAAGGGAGTTCTGAGTGAGTTTATGTGCCTTTGTAGGTTACGTTTTTTCGTCGAGGCTAATTCAGAGGCTGAGTGCTAGCATTGTGGGGTTTTTTTGAAAAAAAAAATTAAAAAGATCAGTTAGCTGAGTTTCTTCCCGTTACATGGATATAACACATTCATAGTTTTATTCATATTAAGATTCCTTAGACGTTGTTTCCTGCAAATGACGCGTTTATCCGCCCGGTACCGGGGGGAAGGGCGTGAAACAGGTTAATAAATGCTCGCCGATAAGTGCTGCGTGTTTTGTGTGATTTGTTTTATGTTGCGGGCCTTCCCACGAGCCACTACCACTTGGTAGAGGACGGGTCGTAACACCCCCCTTGGTCGATTTTGATGAATGAAATCTCTTTATAACCGCTAGAGCCAATGGAATTGAGGGAAAGTTTCACACACACAGGTTACCAAATAAGGAGTGAGAGTGACGCGTGGCCAAAACCGGAAGCTGCATACACTCTTGGTGGCTACCATTAGCAGCTAACTTTGTTTTCTCCGATTTTTTCATAAAAATTGAATTATGGATTATAAATATTTTTTTCAAAGCGACAGACACATTAATTGGACACTATGGATTAACCCGCAGCAGCGTTTTTATCGTTTTAATGCCATTGAACACGACTTTTGATCAGAATGACAGCTAAGGTGAAACGATCTCCCGTAAAAAGGTACGTGTTGTGATGTCTGTGTTTGCTTCCCCTGTCGCGAGTTCGGATCGCTCATTGATGATCTCTAGGTCGTCCTCCATCGTCGCTTCCAGTCATCCCGGTTCTCCATACATCTGGCCAGTTCATTGGTACTTTGTGCTCCTGCGTCATTCTTGAGTACGTCCACGTATGTTAGTGTGCGACGTCCTCGTGACCGATGCCCGTGTGTTGGTTCCCACAGCACCAATTTGCTGGCTGGCAGCTCTTGATGCCTTTGGCAATGTCCTGCTAGTCTCATTCTCCTGGCTGAAATTTTCTCGCTCACCCTTGGTATTCCCTCGTACAGGATCTTGTTGGTTACATGTCCACTCTTGCTGATGTTAAGTACTGCTCGCAACATTCTGGTGTAGCATCCGTCTAGAGACTTTTGCAGGGTTGGCTTCAGGGTCCAGCATTCACTGCCATAGAGGAGAACAGACTCTACCGTTGCATAGAAGAAGCTGATTTTGATTTGTCGGGGGAGGTTGGAGTTCCATACACTGGTCATGCCGTTCAGGGCCCGCCATGCAAGTGCCTTCCTCACCTTAAGATCTTGCTCGGTTGAGTTGACCCATGAGCCCAGGTACTTGAAGTCAATAGCCGCGTTCACACCAAGTACTTTCCTGTACTTAGTTCCGGCACTAAGAGCCCCGGCGCTTTTAACCCCAGGGCACTTAGTACAGATCGCGTTCACACCGGAGTACTTTTCCCTGAGGGAAGATTACGCAAATGAGCCGCTGACGTCACTTCTTCTTCTTCTGCTTTGGATTTACTGGCAGGCCACAAACCACTTCACGGCGAGTACAGTAGGTGGCGGTATGCACCTTAAAGTTGTTTGCAATCCGCTGCAAAACAAGAGAAGAAGAAGAAAAACTTCCCGCGTATACTGCGACGCCCACCCACTCGCTGTACATTAGGCGTCTGTTGTTTACCTTCCGACCTCAGACATGATGGAGATGGAGTCGACTGAAGTTGTGCTGTTTGTGCTCATGTTATACAGCTTTGTAACTGAGTTAATGCAGCCTGAGCAACTTGCGTACAATAACAAAACAAGCCGAGCACGAGTGGTGGTGGAGAACGCTTTTGGCAGACTGAAGGGCAGGTGGCGGTGCTTGATGAAAAGAAACAACTGCAAGATGGACAAGATCAAAATCCAGGTGGCAGCATGTTGCATATTACATAACCTTTGTGAAAGTAATGAGTACAGGGACGAATATGAGGCATCTGAACAGCGTGTAAATTGTACATTGTAAACATTTTGACAATAAAGCTAATCTTTTGTACAGTGCTTTTGTTTCTCTTTTATTTTCCAGTCAAGACAGGCAACATTACAATAGTGTACAGTGTGGCAATATAATAACAATAAACTGTGCCAGGTGTGTTGTATGCACAGTAAATAGGCTCAGCAGCAAACCCACCGTTATTAGTATATATATATCTTCCTGAGACCCACTGCATCCGTCTGCCATAAACACTATGGAAACATAAATGTTAGTTTCGGCCCATAGTGGACTCCATTTTGTTGTGTAAAATGGGGGGGGGGGAATTAAAGGTTTGCAAATCCCCATGTCCTCCTCAGAGGACAATCATAAAAACATTTAGTTTTAGGTCAAATAATATTTAAAATGATATAAATTACTCATGTAAATCAAATTTAGTTTTGAACATTCACTGTGATTGGGTCTATTATCCACGCAATACACCATATTACATTTTTTTCTTAATTTACATTATTTAATTTCATATTCTGTTCTTGTAAATATCATATTCTATTATATTAAATGTATATAAACTTTTTGCACTACTTTTTATTTTGTATTTTTGTATTTTATTGTATATGTTGCATTGTTGGAGGAGCTCAGGTCAGAAGAACTGCATTGACATTTCTACACTGTAGCTGCTGAGCATAAGAGAATAAAACCTTTGAATCTTGAATCCAACACTTTTTTCAGTGGAAAATCCTAAATTGTAGTTTGGCCATAATAATGCTTTATGATTACATTTCTAGTGAGAAGTGTATATTTTACTTTCAGAATCTACCTCCAGTGGATGTGTAGGATCTACACAGGGTATATACAGGAATCCTGAAGTCAAATGTAAAACCTTTTAAGACCTTTTTTAAGACCCTTTCCATACATTTTAAGACCTCATCGCCACTTTGAGTTTTAACCGGTTACCTTGGCGACACACTTTACCTCACATTGACTATATACAGTATTGATTGTCCTTCCTCCTTATCTTCCAACCATTTGGACGCAAACTTGCATTTCCCCATAACGATGTTGTTTAACAACCGGCGTAAACGGAGCTTCACGCGCTATCAAGCAGTGAGCGTGCAATGTCCTGTTCAGATGACGTCAAATCCAAAGGGATGCCATAAATAAACTACACAGAATCACACTACACACCTACGCACTGATTACATTCAGGTACACTATAGAATACAACCTCTTTGGACAATTTATATACTTATTGAAAACAAGCTACAAAATGTAATACTTGGAAAATGCCGTTTAATACTTTGAAATAGCCTTCATTTTCGCTAAATTGATTTATCAACTTTTAATACTTTTTGAGACCCCGCGGACACCCTGCTACAGTATGATAGATATATTACTTTACACCCGGAAGTATGTATTGTCATTCTTATTGTCGATAAATTGAGGGATATACGCTATATTTTATTAACACCAGTATGTACTTTATACATCCACCTCGAGTGTTTGTCTCTGCACCGGAAATAATGTAATTTTAAAGTTCAACCGCATATTATATAGACTATATCAGCGCCACACCTGCGTAACACATGGTGCCTCTTGTCTGAACAATTTTTTAAGCGATTTGTAATCTATTCTTGTCGACTTGCAGCCTATCTACAAAGATAACTCCACTCTCCTACCACTGCTTACCTCTAATGAGCCTTGGTAGAACTAGTGTCCGAGTCATGGGGTCCAGAACTGACTGAAGACATGTGGAACAGAGGACAGGCATGGTTCCATGTACAGGGACTGGAACTTTGAACAGGTGTTTTCATCTTTTCTGCCTGAAGATTCACAAGTTCTTGATCAGGTGTTTGATGTAGGCTGGCATGATCCTTTCTGCAGCGATGAATAAAGAAAACAAAGAAAACATTTTTAATAATAGTAATGATGGTAACAACAATAATATTAGTATAACTATTTATATAGCACTTACACAATTGCAAAGTGATTCTCACAACAAAAATAAAGAACAAAACAATACCAACAATAAAAAAACAAATGATTATAGGAATGTTAAGAGACAAAGAAATTATAAACATTCTGATAGGCCGACTACAAAAGGTAGACTCAATGGCTCTTGATGACATCAATGCGCAGTCCCAATAGATGCTGTTGTATAAAAATAAATAGATTTATTCTATTTTGTGTTGGATGATTTGTTTTATTGATTGCTGATGGATGTATATATATATATAGGGTTTATTGAACAGCAGTAAAGCATTAAGTTGCTAAATTAACGTACACTGAACTGTAAAACAACTTACCACTATTTAGGAAAGGCTCAGGAGGGTTGACTAGTAGGACAGCAAAGAGGTGGAGGAGGTCTATGTACAACCATTGGTAGATGTTACACCTGAAAGAAAGATAATGAAATAAAAGAAGACAGGAGTACAAACATCCTCTTAAAGTGGGGTAGGTAAGTTTGAGAAAACCGGCTCGAGATAAACTTTTTGTTATATTCCATGGAATGCTCTTAACATCCCGATAGCAATGAAAATCTTAAGTGCTTTGACAAAAAATCCATAAAAAAAATGTAATCTGTGGAAGCCGTAGTACTGTAAAAAGCACGACCAATCATTTTAGCCGGCCCGGCTAAAGTAACTGGATGGCCTACCTGCCTGTCAGCCTTCCATCTGTGCACAAACTTATCTCGTGCCCTCATTGGTCAGTGTGCGCGCTCGTGTGTGTGGAGAAGGGGCTCCTGTAAGGAAGTGGCCAGATTTTTTCCGGTTGTGTATTTTCAAATTCTAGCGGCACTCGAGCTGGTTTCTCCAAATTACCTACCCCACCTTTAAGTAAAAGACCAAATCATGTCAAGCTTTACTGGAGCCTGTTTTTTTCAGTCTTTACAATGCACGTTGGAAAACACATACCATTCCAAAGGCTAAATTCAAAACTCAATACCAATAAATAACTGGGTACCAACAGTGCTTTACCTGATAGAACACGTTCCACATGGAGCAGCAACCATCCGGCTCGGCCTTTTGCTGCATATCATCTCCTCCCTCTCCACTGTTTCCATTAGATCTCTACTGTCCAATAAAACTGAAATTCCCCAAAAAATCATATTAAAAAAAGTTTAAAACAATAACTTGCTTTTGGCATTGAAATGGATTAGAATCTCACCATTTTCCTGGATGTCAGGAAGGCCAGGAAGTCATTCCCTTCAAGACCGCAACCAGTCATAGGAGTTCAAATGCAAAGCCCTGAACGATGACAAGAGCGGAAGACTTACATTTTACCATTCTATTTTTAATTAATACCAGAGCAGTGTGTATACCTAGGCCCTGTACGACATGCAGAGAACAGATCAAATCCCCTGACAGAATCACACACTTTGGTGATATCCTCTTCTGATAATGTTTCATTTTTTAGCAGCAAAGTAACATTACTCAAAGTATGTCAGACCCAACTCATTTACAGTATGTTTTGCATCTCCTCAACAATGGTCTGTATCATTGAGTAGAAAACAACTGTCCCTACAATTTCAGGTAGATTAACACACATTTGTAAGACAAGTTTAAATGAAGCACAAAAACCCTCTTTGTATTAAGCGAGCTGCCACACAAAGTACAGCTTAACATGCTAACCTTTGGTAGAGAGCTACAGTTTGCTAACTTCATGTTCAACACAAAACCTCTAATGGCATTACATTGACAATTTTAAACCAAACGTAACGCTCTCAACTGTAAGATTAACGTTAAGTTAACTTACCCTTAAATAACTACATCACCTTTTTCAGGGGAAACACAAACTGCAGAAAACGTTAGCTGCTAACTGTTGATAGCTAAGACAGCTAGCCTCCTAGCAAACGTAATATTAAGTTAACATTAACGTAACGTTGTAAGAAAGCAAAACGAACCTTCGAGAAAGCTTTTACTCTCAGACTTGGTGGAATTGTGTAGTGTTGCTTACCTCCAGAAGGACTTTGAGCGCGTTTCCCAGTAGACAGAGCTGTCAGAGCGGTGCCTCTCAGAAGAGCAGCCGCTGGGCGGAGTCACAGAAACGCTCAACTGATCTTCTTCACTCCTTGACCGTTGTGCCGTTAGTGCACGTTAGTGCCAGTCATACATACCGCTTTGTTTCAACACTGCCGTCTCGCCGCTCCCCCCGCCCTCTCTGTCTGTCTGTGTCTGTTTCAGTTTAGCCAGCAAGACTACTGAGTAGACCAGCATAAATACCAGCTTCACCAGCATCCAGCTTAACTACCAGCTAAAACCAGCATAGACCAGCATGACATCCATGCTGGTCTATGCTGGTTTAGCTGACCAGGCTGGTCTTGAACCAGCCAGAAACAGCTTGTCCAGCCTGGTAAACCAACTAAACCAGCCTAACACCAGCTAAAACCAGCAAAAACCAGCTAAAACCAGCAACCATCTTAAGTGGTCTATAGCTGTTTTTTTCAGCAGGGGCGGTACCCGCGAAGAATCAAATGGCCAGGTGACGTATCTCAACGAGGCGTTTTGGGGATGGTTATTTTTCTGTGTTAGAGTTTTTACCTCGCCTACAGGGTTGTACTTTGAGGGTTTTGACTCTGCACACCGTTTACATGCATAAAACCTTCATAACACACAAGGGGACGGGTAATAACCGGGAAAAGCATGACATGGGAGCTTTAAAGGATCAATTCATATTACAGGAGAAAGGAAATACAGTTTAAACTGCCATTGCAGGAAAGACGGCCCCGGCCCCCAAAATCACGACTGTGTGAACGTGAAAATGAATTAGACTATCACCTCCATCTTCAGAGCCACACTCTGACTATTATAACATTAGCGTTAAGAAAGCTTACTTAAATATGCTGCCACAACATAAGTACCGGATCAAAGTAACATTACGTAGCCTACAGTCCGCGGCACTGTGAGTGCAGACGTCGATGTGTCCCATTATCATTCATATCACATGATATCACATCATAATGTATCATATATTTCCTTATCTGAGTCAGCTTCTTGAGCCGTATCTGGCGTGCAACACTCACAGTGTCATACAGTGGCCTACTGTATGCAGAAGTATTATTTTAAGCACATTAACACATTAAGTTGACGAAACACTCGAGTCAAATGTAATTAAAGTCAGATCCACTCGTGTCTTAGCAGTGATATCATAAAACTGTTAATGAACGTATTCAAACACTTTTTCTTTTACCAGTAAAGTAAACAGATATGGTTCTAAACTGTATTGAAGTAAACATGTATTATTTTGAATTGTATTTTAGTGAACATGTATTGTTTGAACTGTTTTAAGTAATCCTATATATATATTGTCTTTCTCACTTACAACTCACTGACCCAGAGATCCCTACACACACATACACCTCCTCCCACCAGCACACACACATATTATTTTCAAGGTTCTTTCTGGGCATCAATATATCTGTGTACAATGTTTGGTTGTCTGGGAAAGAATAGTTTGTGTGAAATATTCCTTGGGAAAGTAAAGGAGTGAATACAGGTGCAGAGATAAGATTGACTCTGTCCTTGTGTACTTCCGAATCTCACGCTCTGCTCAGAAGAAAACATACTTTTTCCCAGAACTCTGATTCGCTGTATTGGACCCGACCAGAAGTGAATCCAACCAGTAAAAACACCTGGGGGAGTGAGCAGCTCACACAGCTCCTCCCCACGGACTCTCTGATTCGCTCCGGAGTAAAATGGGAAGGAAGAGTCTACACATCTCCGCCCCAAAATATGGATATGAATACTGTTGTTTATGTATGTAAAATGCTTCCTGTTTTCTGACTGGCTGGTCCCGATACCTGTATCGCACAGCAGTAGAAATTGAAAGTATGGAGTACTCTGTAAACTTGTATACGTGTTTTGTTTCTTACCAGTAAAATCAGATTATTGTTATAACCTTTATTCCGGTGTTTTGAATTTCTTCTTTATTAAATATAACCAGCCTCATCTAACGAACGGCGCGTAGCGGAGGGGGGCTTTAAGCCACCATCCAGTGTTTGCTACAACACCAGCCAGTATTCACCTTGCCAGCTGCAACTATGTGGCTTTGATCCTGGATAAAGTGTTTAAGTCATGGATGTTTAAAGTTAACGTCTTCATATTTGTCTAATATTAGTGTGACTTTTCATTCAGGAATATATGACGCGCTGCGCTTGTCAGTACACGGCTTGTCCATGTTGTGATTGGTCCGATCACTCCAAATACCACCCCTTTTATGTGAACGCGCACCTAACTAGATAGGACACGGCTGGCTTGAGCGATCGAGTTGATAGCCAGCATCGTAGGACAGTTTAGCGAGGAGTGTTTTTTTTTTTTGATTAGTCAACCGGAATAACTCAAAACATATCCAGGATATGTTGAACTAGATTCGTAGTATAGGCCCCTGGTCCGGAGCAGGTTAGGTCCAGGATAAGAGATCAACTCAGTGAAAGCACCCGCCTGCTGACCAATCAGAGCTCAGTGTGCAGAGTTTAAAGCTATCAAGTCATATTACAGGACAGAGGAAATACAAAAAAATTGCCGTTGCAGGAAAGACGGCCGGCAAAAATCAACTGACTGTGTGAACGTGAAAATTAATAGAATATCACCTCCCATCTTCAGAGCAATCTGACTAATATAACATTAGCGTACAGTCCGCGGCACTGTGAGTGCAGACGTCGATGTGTGTCCCATTATCATTCATATCACATCATATCACATCATAATGTATCATATATTTCCTTATTTGATTCAGCTTCTTGAGCCGTATCTGGCCGTGCAACACTCACAGTGTCACATACTGTATGCAGAAGTATTATTTTAAGCAACACATTAAGTTGACGAAACACTCGAGTCAAATGTAATTAAAGTCAGATCCACTCGTGTCTTAGACGGGGCAGTGACATCATAAACCTGTTAATGTACGCATTCAAACACTTTTTCTTTTACCAGCTGTATTCACCTTGCAGGTGCAGCTATGTGGCTTTTATCCTGGATAAAGTGTTTAAGTCATGGATGTTTAAAGTTTAACTTCTTCATATTTGACTAATATTAAAGTTCACTTTTCATTCAGGAAGTATGACGCTGCGCTGTCAGTACGCTTGTCTGTGTTTGAGATTGGTCGAATGCTCCAAATACCACCCCTTTCATGTGAACCCGCGCAGCTAACTAGATAGGACACAGCTGGCTTGAGCGATCCACTTGATAACCAGCGTCGTAGTACAGTTTAGCGCAGGGGTCGGCAACCTTTTTGATATGAAGTGCCATTAAAAAAAAAAATTGTTATCAGCGTGCCAACGATCGAGAATTATCAACGGGGGGGGGGGGGGGGGGTTTGAGGAGCTTGACGCTGGTGAACTATCAACAGGAGGGCGGGGGGAGCCTCGCTGCGGGTCCAATGCAATTCCTGCCTTTTTTTGTTGCTAAATTCTGGTGTCTGTGGTTATTTAAACATTCCCTGATAAACGTTATTCAGCGTCAATAAATGAGTGCTAATCCCAGTGTGTTTAGTGTACAACATCACATGTCATTTCACCTTCAATTCACAGTTTCAAAACGTTAGCCACATGCTAATGCTAACCGGAAATGAAGGATTTTCAGAATAAAACTGCTTTTAAACTGACGGAATGTTTACACTAAGTTATGCCATAAAACATTGATTTTAATTTCTAACAATTCGTGTTCACCAACACGATTTCGCCATTTTTTTCGTGTCACACAGAACGATTTTAAAAGCAATGTAAATAATAACAAATTAGAAGGAAAAAGACATTTAAAAAAATACAGATTTAAGTATTCTGACACAGAACGATTTTAGAAGCAATGTATTTATATTGGTAGTATGTTTCGTGCCTGCACCAAATAATAACAAATTAGAAGGAAAAAAAGATGACATAAAATACAGATTTCAGTATTCTGAGGCTCTGAGCCCCATTTCTTTTCCTCACTGACGGCAAAAAAACTCAGACATTATACAATTTAAAATAAAAGGGATAGGGTTAGGCTTAGGGTAAGATATTGAGTAACAACATGTTTTTATGAATCACACAGCTTCTGGTCTTCCAAGACCCGACCGGACAAAAAGACGTGTTGCAGGCACGAAACCAGGGTTGCCAACTTTGGGTACCTGGCTGGAGTGAGATTTTGATATCATGGGTTTAATTCGGTTTAATTACACATATGCGCACGAAATGACTGCTATCGTGTCAGCAGCGGGCCCTTAGCATATAGGATATATATACAATATATACAAATACACAATAATGGACACAGA